TTTTTTTTTTTTTTTTGGTACCGGGCATTGAACCTTGTGCTTGCAAGGCAGGCCACCGAACCACTGAGCTAAATCCCCGGCCCTTATCTCAGGTATTTTGTCACACTGACAGAAAGCTGACCGACACAGTAGTTTAGGTTAGTTTGTACTAATCTTTTGACTTTTCTGTACTTTTGAATTTTTTCAAATTAAACTGAGAACTAAATTGCTAAGGAAAGGTTTGGCAGTTAGAAGGTTTTTACCTGGGAAAACAAAAGCTCCTCTTTCACTCCTAATCAATCCTGTGACTGTACCAGGTGCACATGTCTATCTCCTCCACACCCACCTGAGTGGCAAGGGCAGTGATGTCTCTTAGAGGGTATTTATTTCATCTCGAGCCCACTGCAGGCAAGGAGTGGCTGTAAAATATGGAGGTTTTCCTTGAGTGACTCTCATTTCCTCATTCAAGGAAGAAATCACGTTCTTCCCTTGCAGGAAAGGCTGTGTGCAGAATTTCTGAAGCCATAAGAGGTAATAATTCCCCAGCAACTATACTTTCTTGTACTGACATGACTTCAGAGGACCAAAACTTGAAAAATAAATAACATGAAGGATTTAGCAAATGTCGACATTTATTCATACCTTTCCAATCAAGTCATAACAGGGTCCACATCTTACTTCCTGGCTTCACCATGCACTTGTCAGGCAGGCACAGAGCCACTGAGCTGAATCCCTGGCCCAGGAAACTATATTTGAATAAGCACCTATTTAGCATTTTAATTTGATTTAAATAGTAACTTACATAAGAAGATTAATGAAAAGATTTTCATTATTTATAAGACAACTCATACTTTGTAAAAATCACCTGGGTACTTATTAAAAGCCACATGAAAAAGGCATGTACCAAGTGATATCTTTATTTATTTATTCATTCATTCATCTATTCATTCAACAAATGTTTGTTTGTTTGCTTTTTGTTTTTTGAGACAGGGTCTCACTCTGTAGTTCAGGCTGCCCCTGAACTCATTACGTAGCTCAGGCTGGCCTCGTGAGCCTCCTCCCTCTGTCTCCCAAGCGCTGGGATTACAGGCGTGCTCCACCACACTCAGCTTCATTCATCAAAATTTATTGGGCATCAATACATCTCAACACTCTGCAAAGTGCTAAGGGATACAAACTAAGGCTCTACAATGAACTCAGCCTACTTGAGACAACCAACCTGTAAAGAAATACTACCCCAAAGTGTTCGAAGAATGTTTTGAGCCAGTGTGATTATTTCTCTTTAGCCTGGCAGGGAGAGGCTGACAGTATTAGGAGACATCATAGGGATATGACAATTGGGCAGAGTATGAGTGGACGTCCAACAGGCGATGATGGAAAGGGAGCAACAGGACCGAAGACTTGAAAGCAAGAAAGAACAGGCATACCCAAATGCCTGGAAGTACAGGGGAGGGAGGTGATTTTCAGTGAAACCAGAATAGAGAGAGGAGTTCAAGGTGAGAGTGATGGATCCAGTTTTGGATGGGATTTTTGGGGCCTCCAGGAAGAGCTGTCAACAGCTTTTCCAAGACTATCTGTAGGCCTGGGTAAGACAGGGCTGGCCTTGGTCTCCCTTTCTAGGGCTTGCTTTACACAAGGCCAAGGCCACCCCCGAACCCAGAGCACTTCCCCATCCTTTCCAGACTGCTCTCTAGTTCCCCAGGATCACAAAATTCCTTGTCCAGAGCCTGCTTCCAGGATCAGCATAGGCTTCTTCAGTCCACTCTCTTAGGAACACTGACCTCAGGGGTGGAGCCTGTGCTCTGGACTGTGGTCCTAAGGATACTGGGGATGATTACTTTTCCTTCGTGTTTCTTCAACCTGCCTTGCAATACCCCTTTCCTCTACCTCTGCTCAAATTCATATGTTCTCTGGTGTGGATTTGGAGGTGGGGCCTGTGGGAGGCATTCAGGATTAGATCAAATCATGAGGGTGGGGCACCATGTAGACATTAGAGGCTTTATAAGAGGAAGAGACCTCTGAGCTAACATACCATGATGCAGCGAGAAGACCCACCCCAGGTGCCACACAGAACACTCTTGGACTTTCTGGCCTCCGGAACCATGAGACAAAAGTTTCTATTTATAAAATGACCTCGTTCCAGATATTTGTTATAATAACAGAAAATGGACTAAGATGTTGTAGATTACCTACTCTATGAAGTCTTCTCCTTGTCCTTTCTTGGCCTCCCCACTTCATTTTTATCACAGCACATTTACAGCACTTAATGAGAAACTGGTATTTATTAGAATGAGTGGTCCTGGTTTGTAGGGTGCTGGAGCTATCTGGTTTTAGCATTGAAATTTTGACGTCCCAGAAACCCTTCATTCCTAAGCTACCCACGTGGTTGGTCGGTCACCCTAAACTGACATCTCAATTTTTTTGAGTAAATGAATGAATAGCAGAATTTCAAATCAAAGTTGAGCTGAAGGCCTTCAACATTTTCTATGCATATGTGAACATAAGCCCCTCAAGATGCCTGAAGGATTCAGTTCTTTCCTTATACTTCTCCACCCCCATTGAGCTGAGCATGTGATAGGTAAAACATGACGTGCTGGATGCCTGTCCTAGCTTTGTTTTGCCGCATAATCCTGCAGAAAGAATATTTAACTTTCTCAACCATGACTCCTTAGCTAAACAGCAGAGGAAAATTATTTCAGTTTTTTTTTTTTCCATTTCTCTCAAGGTTAACACCTAACTGGTACTCATTCTAGAAGAGTACTGTCTGGATGTACAGGAGAAAACTGACTCATTACATATGATTGAGGCTTTAGGACAATTAAGGCTTCATTCTTTCACCTGTTGAGAAACCCAAGAAAGTGCCTCTGTCTTTGTGAGTTAGCCAACTGGCTGGAGAAGAGAAGCTATGGAAAGGAAGCATCAAAGACAGGGTTGTTATCCCTGTTCGGCAAATGAAGAGGCCGTGGAGGAAATGCATTCTCCGTTTGCGCAGATGGGTGAAGGCAGCGAACTGTAAGCTCTCCCCATTGTTTGTGCATGGCGGGGCAGGGTGGTGACACTTGCCTCATAGGACTTGACATGGTAGTTGTAACTGACTTTGCTTCTCAGCTGGCAGTTGCCAAAGTCAGACAGCACTGCATGTCATATTCGGGAAGACAAATGCTCTATAAATAAATTGACTTGGAATAGTCTCAAATACGCATAAACCACAATGTCTTTAAATGTAACTCTTGACTTTTCTCTCATTTTCTTTCTCTTTTTGAGAGGTCAGCAAGGAAGCTTTCTCAAGACAGGACTTATAAAAATTCATTCTAAGAAACCAGGAAGAACTTTTTGGTATCCTGTCTTTAAAAACCATATATTCTCCCCCAAATGTTTGCTAGAAAGCTCCTGGGTACAATATGTCCCCCTCTAAGCACACAGCTGTATATTACACTTAAGCTCACAGTTGTTATATAGGTTGTGTATCAATCCTTTTAAAAATTCATTTTCTAGCCAGGTGTGGTGGTGCATGCCTGTAAGTCCAGCACTCAGGAGGCTGAGGCATGAGGATTGCTGTGAGTTCGAGAACAGCCTGGGCTACAGAGTGAGTTCCAGGTCAGTCTCAACTACATAGTGAGACCCCGTCTCAAAAAAAAAAAAAAAAAAAAAAAAATCATTTTCTAGAGGAGGTGATAATTCATTTTGTCATTCAATTTCCCATCATGAAAAATTTCATATGTAAAATCAATGCATGCTAATAGGGTACTCTGTTCAGGGAGATTATTTTTAGTGATTCAGCTAAAGATCACTGATGGGTCTCCCATCTGAAAATCTTAGGTGGAATCAGGGACAACTTTCTGAGGATTACTTTGGAAAGATTTAGAAACTATCAGAATGCAGAGGTGGAAGGGTGGGCTGATTCTGAAGCAGAAGTACCCACTTTCAAGAAACATTCTGCCTAATGATATTTCATTTGTAGGATAAAGTTAATTTTCTTTCTCCCTGCCACTATTACATCACTACACTAGGGAGGACAAGGGAAACTCAGGGGTTCTGGTTTTTCACTGAATGGTCATTCATCCGGAAGGGTCACAGAATCGTCAATTCCAATTAGAAGACAATTTAATGCGTGATTGAATGGGATCACCTCTGGCCTAGCAGAGGAGATACTTTGATGTGAGAAAATGTCTGTTTTGACTAAAGGAGGTTAAATTCTACTGAAGCCTTTTAAGTGGGTACAGATTAATGTTCACATCAAAAATAGTCTTGGGCCGGGGATTTATCCCACTGGTTCTGCTGCCTGCCTTGCAAGCGCAAGGACCTGAGTTCGATCCCCAGTACCAAAAAAAAAAAAAAGTCTTGCTGAGACAGGAAGCTGTTCTGGAGGGGACCTTCACAATGGATGAAATTTCACTTTGGTTTGCTAAAAATTCTGTTCCCTCTGCTGCAAGGGTGCACATGCCTGTGTTTATCACTTGGTTATTTTCTAAGGCCTTCAAATGGCCCAAGATGATTCTGTGAGTGTACCATCAACCTTCCTGAGGAACTGAATTTTGAGTATTACACCTCCTTAAGCCTAGTATCGTCTCCACGGGCTGCGGAATCCCAATATCAAAGAGCTATTTGGAAAGACCGATTGCATAAAATCTTTAACACTGTGGGTTTTGGTGACTTTCTGATAAATTACTATTGGCAAAGAAAGCGAAGCGGAAGTATAAAAGGAAGACACTTTCAGATCAGAGGAGCAGTTGCATTTGCCCTTATCCAGAATCCTCTGGGTTCTGTACGGAAGTGAAACGACAAATGTGCGGCCTCCACGAGGCCAAAGCACTAGGCTGAGAAGCGGGGAGTGGGATGTGTTTTCCGGGGTCTTCCTCTTTCTTCTTTACTGACTTAAGGTGTTTTCGTCCACCCCTCAGTAGGAGCGAGAAAGCCTCACTCTGAGCGCTGCAAGGAGAGGGACTCAAGCGCAAAGCGGGAAACTCTGCCTTCTGGCGCAGTTGCCAGGACAGCGCGGCGCGCGCAGCAACGGCAAAGGCCGCACAGCGTCCCGGCGGCGGCTGCGATTCGAGTGACGCATTGCAGGTATGAACCAGCCAATCAGAGGATGACTCAAAGACCATCACGGAGCGCGTTCCCGCCACGATGCTCCTCCGCGCCGCAAAGTAGCACTCCTCAGGAACGACACTACCGGCCTTTTAATGGCCCTATGGGAATGAAGCCCACCTACGTCATCCGTCCCCGCTTTCCCTTTATCTCTTGCCTTGTCTACCAAGTAACTGTGGTGGCTAAAGGAGTCTCGAGGAGTTTCAGAGGAGGGGGCTGGCCGGAACTCATTTGTGATGGTCCGTTATCTGCCCGCGGCGGAGGGATCTGGCGGAGGGAGGCGTTTATGAGCCGCTGGGGGTGGAGGAGGAGAATTAGTCCGAGTGGAGCGAGCAGGCTGAGAGGTTGTGTGTTTGCGTCCCGGAAACCGGTAGCGCTTGCAGCATGGTGAGTGCGTCGCCAAGCTGCCGGCCCTTGCCAGCGGCGGAAAGAGGCTGAGGGGAATTGACTAGAGAAGGGGAACTCAGCTTGAAAGAGTAGTGTGGCAGAGGAATGGCGCAAAAGAGACTGGGGGGCCCCTGTGGCGGTTGTGTCGCAGGTGCTCTCCTACCCTCGTTCTCCTCAGGGGGCTTTCTCTAGTGGGTCAGGGGCTGGGCGCACAGCCGCCAAGGCCACGAGGGTCCCCCGCGGCTCGGCTAGGG